GTTATGTTTAGGGCAGTCACTGTTCAGCTGTATTATGTGGTTATGTTTAGGGCAGTCATTGTTCAGCTGTATTATGTGGTTATGTTTAGGGCAGTCACTGTTCAGCTGTATTGTGCTGTTATGTTAAGGGCAGTCACTGTTCAGCTGTATCGTGTTGTTATGTTTAGGGCAGTCATTGTTCAGCTGTATTATGTGGTTATGTTTAGGGCAGTCATTGTTCAGCTGTATGTCTAGTCGGACAAAAGGTTCCTATGGTTATTTCTGATGTCTGATTACAGAAATAATTACCATAAAAACCTGTGTAATTTGTGCTGGTGCTTTTTTTGACTATAATGAAGAAATTATGTAGTAACATTTTATATGTCTGTCTTTTGATTTTGTTCCTTGAAATGATTAATTATGTAAATTCTAAATGATCAGATTCTAGGGATGGTTTCCGATACTATTGTTACACAGTACCATACATGTCATTATAGGAAATGTGCATGCATACAAATTTCACAGCTTCCAAAATGTTTCACATTTATTTTCAAAATTTCTAGCACCCGAACCTAAGTATCTATAAGTCACTTTGAGTTATATTGACTTGCTTATGTATGAAACGCTGTCGTAAAGTGATTGACCTTGACCTTTGTCCCCACAGAACCCCGTGGAGCGCTTAGGATGTCACCCCCAGACCGGCTTCTCTGATATCCAGTCACACCCGTTCTACCGCTCAATAAGCTGGGAGTCCCTGGAGCAGAAACAGATCCCTCCCCCATACAAACCCCAGCTTAAATCTGACCGTGACCTTGAGCACTTCGACACGGCATTTACCGATGAGCCGGTTCGCCTCACACCTGACGATCAGTAAGTACACATGCGTTTCATCATTGTAGATTCACTCTATAAATACCACTTCAGACTCATCATTGTAGATTTACTCTTTAAATTACACATCAGACTCATCATTGTAGATTCACTCTATAAATACCACTTCAGACTCATCATTGTAGATTTATTCTATAAATTACACTTCAGACTCATCTTTGTAGATTTACTTTATAAATTACACATCAGACACATCATTGTAGATTTACTCTATAAATTACACTTCAGACTCATCACTAGTTAAGACCTGTCTTTGCTGGAATCAGTTTTAAATGAGAAGATAAAATCCAAACATCTATATTGAGTAGTAGCCATAATCTCATTTATCAACAGAATATTTAGTCTGAGGTGTGTTAAAAAAGCAACAATAACTGGTAGGAAAGCTGGTGTTACTAACACCTTCAACCCCATCTGTCACTGGTGTTACTAACACCTTCAACCCCATCTGTCACTGGTGTTACTAACACCTTCAACCCCATCTGTCACTGGTGTTACTAACACCTTCAACCCCATCTGTCACTGGTGTTACT